GAGATCTTCAGCTGCTCCTCTTGCCTAGATCCATATTTTAACTAATAAACCCTGACGAAAGTAAATCTGGACCCACCATTTCGCAAAATATTCCTATAGGAGAAGATTGGTTGAGCCTGTCCAACTAAAGATTAAACATTTGGAAGAATGAGGTCAGATAAACCTCGATAATTGGACTAACTTCAGTGCACACAACCAGTACGGTAAGCTTGCCATTACTTCCAATCTCGGCAATATTAGTGGGTGTTGCACGGGGCATCAATGACCATCGCTCAGCCATCACCCACCGCTTCAGGCCCTCTGTGAAAGCGCAGTCATGAAATGTACTTTACGAAGGGAGGTTAATTATAAAGTGCTTACCTACAGTTCCATGATACGGGAAGAAAGCATCATCTTTGAAAACTGCGATACGTGCTCCAGATTCGCGCAAGGATGTTGGTACAGCAATGGGACTGGCGGAGAAGAATCTGGTCTGGAAGAAAGGTAATACAAAAGCTTTCACAATGGAACTAAAACTAATCCATAAAAAACGTGCTAGAAAAAGAAGAAATAACGTTTAGAAAAAAGGAAGACCAACAAGACTCTTCAAAAATAAAGCGAATGTCAAAAACATACCTTTGAAAATAAAGAATCGGCAATCGTTTCAAATTCTTTCTGCAGTTCATCTTTTTCGTCTCCGATGATTACAAAGGCAGGATCGTTGCGAGAGTCTTTTCTGATCTAAAAAAATGTCGCTTTAGGCAAGTTTCTCTCCTCAAAAAGGTAGGCTTCAAGCAAATGGATTCAAACCTTACGTCGTTAAGCCTAACAGCATTCACTTTCTCTACGATAGGCGCTGAACTTTTAACGACAAAGTTGTACAAAGCCTCTTTGGTACGTTCACCATGATATTCTATTCGACGACCTTGGCGAAAACTGAACAATAAAAAAATATCTAAGGAATGTAAAAACTGTTAGAAAAAATGAGATTACGATAAGAATTAAACTGCTGATTTTTATAAGAAAAAAATAAGTATTGATGTAAAAGAAGACCCAACTTACAATATTATAGTTGGATATCCAGAAATGGATAACTTGTTACATGCAGATGTAAACCGAGTGCAATCCAT